GAATACCTAAAATGTATTCCATCACTCTCCATAGACCTGGTGTTGCAGAGAGCTTAGGAGCAGTTTCTGGCACACCCCCAGGAAGATACATGACTGTGGATCAGACACTCAGAGGCTTCTTTTGAGCAAATAATTTACAGTATTTGATGTCCACCTCAACCACCTCAAGACTGGTCAGGTAAGGATGGGGTAGAGGGCATGAGGTGAGTGGATGAGGTTGAAGTACCTATAAGGACCCCCATTAATGTCTTCCTTTCTATTTTATCTTTGCCTCCAACCCAGGTGATTGTCATGGAGATCCAGAACAAAGATAGCACTTCACAAAGCAGAATGTTGAGTGAGCCTTGGGCTGTCTGGTCCTGAATCGGTTTCTGCAATAGGCAGAAGGACTGTGACCATGAACATGTTTCACCTGCATGTCGTAGGCCCTCAGCTGATAATAAATTCTTATCCAACTCCAGGAAAAAAATCTGTTGAAGGAAGATGGAGACTTCCAGGACCAGCTGGGCGTCTGTGGCCTTGCCAATCTGGGCAACACATGCTTCATGAACTCAGCCCTGCAGGTGGGCCCATTGGAACTTTGTGAGCTTCATGAGCTGGGGATTGGTGACAGAATGAGGGGGTGGGAGAATCTGCTGGGCAAAGAGTTGGGTTGGAAACTGAGACCTCTTAAGTCTGAATTAATATGCTCCCGTTCATTCCTGAAACATTGATTCTTCTTTCTGAAAAAGCAGTAGCATCTCCTGCTTGCCTGCTGCTTTATACTTCCCCTCCACCTCCCCCCACCCCCATCTCCTGTGCCATCACATTCTTCTTGTAACTGTTTTAGACCTTTGCTCGCTCACCCCTCTGTCCCTTCTTTCTTCCTTCTTCCTCTTTGCTGTCCCCACCTTGACTACTTTCTATCCCTTTTCTCTGCTTCATTCACCTGGCAACTGCTTCCTGCAGTGTCTGAGGAATGTGCCACAGCTCACTGAGTACTTCCTCAGCAATTACTATCTGGAAGAGGGCAACTTCTGTCACCCACTGGGCATGAAGGGTGAGGAGATTGCAGAAGCCTATGCAGATCTGGTAAAGCAGGCGTGATCTGGCCAGCACTGTTCCATTGTGCCCCAAGTGTTCAAGGAGCAAGTCAACTGAGCACCCCCACCCCCCCACCCCCAAATACATACTTGCATGCATACACTCATACGCTTCTTTTGTCTCTACCAATCATCTTTCTGCTGACCCTGTCTTATCTCCCAGACCAAGGTTGGCCACTCTGCATCCCAGTCTCTGGGCTATCAGCAGCATGACTTGCAGGAGCTGCTGTCATTCATTCTGGATGGGCTGCATGAGGATCTCAGTCGAGTCAAGAAGAAGGAATACGTGGAGCTATGTGATGCTGCTGGGAGGCCTGATCAGGTAGGCTGCTTCTGACAAGAGTCTCCATTCTCTGAGGCCCCATTAATACTAGCAGAGCCTTGACCTTAGGACTTCTATAGCCTCCCTGGCATATCCAGCACTCCCACCATTTTCTGCTAAGTTTTTCTTGAACTTAATCTCCAGTCCCTGTCCCCACTTTAGCTACTTCTTAGCACTTCTGCTCCCTTATCAAATCTAATTTCTTCCCCAGAATAATTCTCATCCCTAATAGTGAACATTGTCCAGACATTGCTAGTTGTATCTACTTTAATAGTGATTTTAACCTCCATATGCTTCATATATACCTTGACACTGTTGGCAGGAGGTGGCTCAGGAGGCCTGGCAAAAGCACAAGCGGTGGAACAATTCTGTGACTGTGGACACTTTCCATGGCCTTTTCAAATCCACACTGGTATGCCCTGATTGTGATAATGTGTTGGTCACCTTTGACCCCTTCTGCTACCTCAGTATCCCACTGCCCCTCAGCCCCATGAGGGTCATGGAAGTCTTCTATGTCTCCATAGATCCCCGCCGTAAACCAGAGCAGGTATGGAAGAATAGGGACATGAGGACATAGGGTTAGAATTTGTTTTGTTATTCTGCCATACATACTTCTTCTAATCCGTTGTGGATACTTTTTCTTCAACAGCACCAGCTTGTTCCCAAGAAGGGCAAAATCTCGGATCTTTGTATAGCTCTGTCCAAACACACCGGTGTCCAGCCAAACAGGGCTTTATCTACAAATGAAGAAGGATGGAATTCAAGGACAGGGTGGCAGAAGGCCATGGGAAACCTTGCAGACTGACCATCTTTGCATCCCATTCCCAGATGATGGTAGCTGATATTTTTAGTCACCGCTTCTATAAGATCTACCATCTGGAGGATTCTCTGAATAGCATCTTGGACCAAGATGATATCTTCATGTGAGTGAGTGAACTGAGAGATATGGTAGTTGTCAAGAACTTTTTAATTTTCCTTTTAGGTGACCCCACCTTAAGCACCTTTCTTTCTACTCTGCCTTATTCCCCAGACACTTCCCCTGTGCAGAGACTCAGCCAAGTACCTTAGCAAGGCAAGAGATTTGGGGGTGTGAGTAAGGTGAAAGCAGGGTGACACAAATACTTCTACATGAAGTCATCAGATGTTTTCTTCCTTGTAATGTGAGGGGAACTACTATTTCTTAAGTATTTTCCTTCCATGTTGATCTGAATCCCTTATTCATATTGTAGTCCTCAGAACCAAAAGGGATTCCCCCCCCTAAAATTTAGTCATTTGCGATGAGAATATACACAGCAAAACAGACCAATTCTCCCTTTTTGTACATGTACAGTTTAGTGACCTTGATTATAGCCTTCAAGTTGTACATCATTTCTCATTCTCCTTTTCTGATTATTCCTTATTAATATAAACTCACTACACTCTAAATTCCTATCTTTTCTTGTTTGTTTGTTTCTGTGTCATTTGATCCCATATGAAACAAAAACCCAAATCCACTGCCATCTAGTCAGTTCTAACTCATAGGTACCCTATTAGGACATGATAGAAACTTTGGGGTTTCTGAAGCTAAAATCTTTTTGGGAGCAGATTTTTTCCTCTTTCTCCCAAGGACCAGCTGGTGAGCTTGAAATGCTAGCTTTTTGATTAAGAGTCCTATGGGATCTTTTTGAGACCTAGTGGATAATTTTTAAAAGAACATAAGATGTTAAAAAATTTGTTAAACTATTGTTCAGTTTTAAGATAAGTTCAGAGGGTAGTTTTCATTTAAGGTTTCAAGATCTCAGAGCAGTAGTTTCAGGGATTGACCCACAGACTTTCTCCATGGTTCTAGTAAGACTAATTGTTGTTTTTGTTGTTAGTGCCATTGAGGTAAGTAAAAGTCATAGTGACTTTATGAACAACAAATCTGAAAACTATCCTGCCATCTTCATCATCCCTGACATAGTTGAGTCCATTTCAGCAGAAACTGTATCAGTTCATCTCATTGAGAGTCTCCCTCTCTTTAACCTACCTTCCACCTTTCCAAGCATGATGTCCCTCTCCAAGGAACAGCTGCTCTTAGCAACATGCCCAAATTATGTGAGCTGAAGCGTTGTCATCGTTGCATAAAAGGTGCACTCTGGAGCATTCTTTTATGGACCTTTTTTATTTTAAGAAAAGACATTTATTATTTATTATTGTTGTTATGTGCCATCGAGTCGCTTGCGACTCATAGCGACCCTACGTACAATAGTCCTAAACCCTGCTCTGTGCTTTGCCAATCGCACTGTCTCCAATACACCCATCCCGATTGCCCCAGTCACTGAATCAATCCACCTTATAGAGGGCCTTCCCCTCCTGTGCTGTCCCTCC